TGGCTTGGCGAACGAGCTTGAACTTTTGGGCGAGGAACCTCCCCCTGTAAGTTGCAGGTCAGCGTTCCATCGCAGGGGGTTTGATGGAGGGGAGAGAGTCTGGAAGAGGGCGAAAGGCGAGATGTGTCGGGAGTTCTGGACCCTCTCTCTTCTCGTAGCGCTCGATTCGGTCAATTGTTCGAGCTTGATCGCCGGGCTGTGCCTCCCGTCCGCGTTTCCACCAGACTGGCTGCGGTACGGGATACAATGGGGGAGCTCAAATATCGCTCATGATGTAATATAGCCGGGGGTGGCGGGCTTCTCAAAGAATCCAGTTGGGGACCGCCCGTGGAATCTTGTAAACATATTTGGGAGTTTTGATTCCTTGCATTGTGATAAGCATCACAAGGCAGTTCCCGGAATATCGTCTCATTGACTGTCATCCATCCGAAATTTGTGCCTAGCGATGAGTAATACTTCGGGGTGAAGTAAAACTCAAGACGGGCTGATGAGATGAGCAAATGGTCTGTCAGCCCTTGCAAAGTTTATGTATAATGAAGGTAGATATGACCTTGGAACGTGTCAAGTCTCTCACTTACGCACCCTTGAGCTGGAAGAAGAAAAAACATCAAGCACAACTACGCGGGCGGAGGTAGTGTGCAAAGGTTATGCTTCTTGTTCAGTATATTCGTACGTTCGGTCTTCTCTGCCACCAGCCAAAGAATGTCTTCAATTCACTCTCTTTGAAACACGTCGATCAAGTACTCATTGTACTCTTGCATTCCGGTCCAGAGCTGGAAGAAATGGTTTCGTGTATCTTGACAAGGATTGAAGATAAGACACCGTTCTTACAATTGTATCTGCACACAATGCAGCTGGTCTCACTCGGGTGGGTCCCCGAGTTAATGGTGTCCCTCGCCCAGACCCGGCGCCGCGATGGGGCCGTCGTATCGGTGTCGGCTCATCATGGGGCGAGGTCGAGCGCTTCCCAGGGCAGACATCCCGACGTGGAGGTTCGGGCAGTCAAAGTTCAAACACGGTGGTTGCGGCACGGAGCGTCGCCGAGAGCCAGATTCCGCGCCAACTCTATGTACCCGTGGATAAATACCACAGTCGGCGAGCTCTCATCCCACGCAACGCCCATCTCGAACTGCCCGTGACCACCCCCCCCCCCTCCCCCCGCATTGCATCGACCTGGGCTACCCAACGTCCAACGACCACCTTGACTCTTCGTTTGGAAAAGTAATACGGACAGATCAGTCTGGCCAGTCAAACGTTTACCTTTCAGTTAAGTCTGACGACTAGCCAGACCAAGGATGGAGGAGCAACCACAAGCACAAGATCTCAGTGGGCTATCACCAAACTTCCGCAGCGCGTTGCAAGATCTCACCCACGAATGGGGCTTCGTCGTCGTCCGCACCGCTTACGCCGCCGATGATGACGAAGCGCAATGGGCCGTCGCCTTGGAGAAACTGCGAGCCTACGCCGCCCCGGCCGACGACCACCGCGCCGAGACGGCCCCGGATACCTTTGCACTGCCCGTCATAGCCAACTACAGCGTCTTGAGCGGCGCCGATTACGCCTCCGTGCGCAAAGCTTTCAATGGGTGGGTTGACAATTTCGTTCGCCGCAAGAGGTCGTCGAACGACGACGATGATGATAATGATGATGACGACGACGACGACGAGGATGGACAGTGGCCGTCCGACGTTCGCCGCGACGTCTTCATTGTCATCGACGAGCCAGCGCTCACTTCGCTTCTCAATGCGCCAGTCTTCACCTTCGGCAAGGCCCCAAACCTCGACCTGGAGCCATGGGTCGTCGCAGTCGACGCCAAGGACTCGGCGAGCGTGCCGTACGGTGGGGGAGGGCCGTACATGGGCTTCACGAGGTCTCGCGCCCGCGTTCTGGGCCAGCTGTGGGAGGACCTCGGCGCGCGGTCTTTGGCGCGATTGACTCCCGTTCGAGAGTACGACGGCCAGATCCCGCTCTATGACGGTTCTTCGCGGGGTAAGCTCGTCGATCCTGCTGGCGGGCTGGAGTGGCGGTTCAGGTTCCCACGGGGCACGCCGCGAGGAGCGTACGGCGCAAGGGCCATGGTGGAATGATTGAGCGAGCTGTGGGCAGAGCGGATGGTTCAGGGAGTTAAATTTTGTCGCCAAGGGAAAGGGGGGGGGGGGGGCTGCTGAAGGCCGGATCAAGAGGCTTTGCGACGCAGAGACCGAAACCATCGTTGCGTTCATCATTCTCAATCTGTTAGATCATACGGAGATTGGCAATTGGTATGTTCCATCGGGATAGCGGGTACGGCTCAAGAGTGCCAAACTTCAGTCTTATTGGAGAAGTACGACGATATTGGCCAGTGGAGCAACAGATCTTTGACGGCCAGTTGGTCTGCCAAGCAGCTAGGCCATCTCAAAAGGTTTCTCCGCCATCTGACTATCCTCTCGGAAGCATGCAACGACTATTTTGAGTTTGAGATACCGCCTTCGACCCTTCCGGGGCCCTTTCAAATTTGCTGTACTGAAGAGCATTGAAGCAACTACCAGCGCCTTGACGGGCGATGACAGGTGACTACAAGACATACTTCCCTCGACTTTGAAAAGCCGCGTACTTTGGCAAGAAATAGTTGACATTGACGCTTCCGAGAGGAGGGACAGGGTCCAGTGCTGGGAGAGTTCCTTGTCGTCTCCCACATGTCAACGCCATACATGACAAGTGTGTGAATTGGTCTTTAGGAGCCATCTGTAGACGATGAACGAGCAAAAAAGGACCTCAGGACAAGGTGTCAGCGGACATACGGGCTCGGTATTTCTTTCATCGAGCTCTAGTAGAACGGGGGCATGTGATTCCATACTAAAAGCTGTAAATTCTGCCAAATTATACATAGGGGAAAAAAGCCCTCAACTCTTCAACTTCTCTAGCAGAGTCTGAGAGAGTCTCGGAGGGTGAAATTGCAAGCAGCCCTGCTCAATCATACCTCGCCCGTTCATCGACCTGGTCGCAAGAACAAGGTAAACATGGCCAAGAGAAAAACAGTTGGCATTCTCGCGTAGAAAATGTCTACGATTAATGCGGTAACATGAGGGGTAATCTCATCCAAGCCCTTCTTTTCAAAGACCCTGGCCAGTCGCCAGGTCCAAGTAGCAGTGGTCAGGAGCAAATTTCCCCACAGCCATGGTCCTCCCTAGGTAAAGAGAGGTCAGTCGTTTCCATTCAGATCTGGATTGGAGGAAGGAGAAAATGGTCTCACCACTGATTGGAATGGTAAGCATAGCAGAAGCCCGACGAAGAAGAGCAGGATCTTGACCATGCCATCTGAAGCAAGGTCTTGCGATGCAGTGCGTACGTTTCCCGCTCCTGGCAGTCCCAAGACACGGTACTGCTTCATAATCGAGATTGATATCTGGATCCCGACGACGCCCAACGCCATCATCCAACCGAGGGCGTGAGAGCCTTGACGTAAGACGAACCAGAAGCTTCGTACTTGCTGCCTTTCTCCGGGCTGGCCCCAGAATAGAAGGCCGAGTTCTCCAACAAGGAACAGACCGCCTGCATGTACCAGTGAGAGGAAGAATCCATCAATAGACTCGATATATCCATAGGCGTTATAGTATGGGTTTGGAACGTCACACTTCTGTCGAGCTATCCAAAGAATTGAGCAGGCCTTGACGATGGACACTGCAAAATCGCTGAGAAACCCGGGATGTGAGCTTCCGATCCATGACTTTCTATTTGGACACCCCAGCCCATGTTTGACATGGCAATAAAACTACCAATTACTCACATGACTAGAAGACGTTCGAGCGCCCAGAGCATTCGTCTTGCTTGTCTGATGTTCTTTTTCCTCTTCCCTATCTCCGCCCAAGAGATGTTGAATAGCTTGAAAGCGGAAACTGAGAGTAGAATGAAGTTCATTGTGATTGTCAAAAGTGAAATTCTTTGATAGTGATGCCATAGTTGGGAGTTCCCAGCAGCCAGCGAGGCAACTTTTCCGGCGGCGCATAGTAACGCTGCGTCGGCATCGGAGCTGATAGGCGGATACGACTTGTTCATGTTTACAGTCTCATGGGTCTTTCGTATGGTCTGCTCATTTCAATTGTTAAAAGAGAAGGTAATGCTCCTTAGGTAGTTGTATGCTCTGGCCCCTGCGGCCATTTACAAGGGTTTTGGCAGTTGACGTCACCTCGCAGTGCCAATGATGACTTGCATCCTGAAGCCTGCGAGTAATGTCACTCTCGTAAAACCCAATCGTGGTTAAGCATGCAAAGTTCTGAGCGCCATTTCCGTGCCTGCGGGACGTGGCTCTCACTTATTGGGTGCGGCGTCTCGAGGACAGGACGAACTTGCCTCACGTGATGGCATAGAAGGGAATGTCGTCAAAAAACCGTCCTGAACAAAACTGACCAAGCCTTTGTTTCAACCGAGCTTGGTCTTGGCGCTTTAGCCAAGTGACGCAGACATGCTTGCCTACTTTATTAGCTAACCTCATAACGGACTATGAAGAAGGCCATTGGTTAGGTGCCGGCTCGGTAACAGATTCGGGATTGTAATCGGAACTCAAATCGTTGATAGACGTACTCTATAGCTCTGGGTTTTGCCTAGGACTATACTCTATTATCTATTCTATAGAATACTCTTCATAGGATACCAGACTAAGTATAAGGAGGCACTCAAGCCCCACCACCATATCATACTGTCACCAAAGGAATTCCGGGCAGGTCGAGACGCTGCTGTGTTAACCTAATAGACTACAAACTCAACGTAAAGAAGGGAGACGCAGAACAGTGGGCAGGAGCTGGAGCGCTGGCCCTTTGGACCCAGCAGATCGGGAGTTTTCTTTTGCCCTCAAGGCGAGAAAACGCAGGGTTATTATATAAGTGAAGCTGCCAGTCGAATCCCTACCTTATGCTGAGGAGATACGACGGGAAGGTAACTATATCCATGTACATAGAAACCATGTATATCACAGAACAATAAGCTGAATCGAAGTCATGAGATATCTCAAAAGAAAGAAACCCTCATTCAACCTTCTTCCACATCTTCTCCAGCATACCAACTCTCGCAATGGCCGCTGGTCCCGCCGCCGCAGCTCCAACCTGCTGCATCTGCTGATCCGCCATGGCCGCCTGCGCCAACTGGGCATTTCCATATCCATAACCAACGTAGTTGAAATTGGTAGAGTTCAGGTTTCCTGCTGCACTAAATGTAACTGCTGCCAAACCCAGTGTTTGCGCTTGGCTAAGAGCGTGTTTGGCATTTTGTAGCATTCTATTCATCTCAGGGACGGTTTGGAGATAGATCTGGCGTCGTTGTTGTGCAAAGGCGAGAAAAGAGGCTAGCTGTTGCGTTTGACAGGCTTCTTTGTAGAGTTGGCGCATGCGAGGGGAGTAGAAGTCGCAGAGTCGCGATTCAACGACGTGATCTCCTTTCATGACGAAATGCTTCTCCAGAGTGGTTTTCTTGGCCACGAGGATATAACATTCCTCACAGATGTGCACGTCGTCCCATCCCCACCATCTCCGATTCTTAGCGAGATCCCGATCTATCTTGGGACAGTTTGGTGCTGCACTCAAGTCCGTCACCAAGTTGCTTAGTGGTCGATAGTCGTCGATATAAGCTGATTCGGCAAACTTTTGTATCAAAGGCATCGCTCGTGGGTAAGAAAAGACATTGAACGAGCAAAGCCGAGTTTCATTGGCCGGGACGTGCTTGGGCTTAAAGAGATGGGTCATACGCATACTCGCGATTGTTCCCGCCATGCAGGCTCCGCAAATGTCGAAGTCGGGAGGATTGTCTTGTAGCGTGTACCAACCAATACCACTTGCGCCTTGCGGATCACAAGGCTTTTGCTGAGAAAGAGATTGCATCACATGCCAGAACATGTTAAACTCGCCGTAACTAACTGCTCGTCCGACGGGAATGAGAACGTTGACCTGGCCCATTGCGCACGTCGTGAGCTGCGTAGTGCTCATGCGAGTTGCTTGGAATGATTGACCCTCTGGGGAATCATGGAAGTAATCCCAGTAGCATGCCTCGCAAACTAAGAAGCCTGAGGGGATACGGGAGGACCAGAACCAGGTCCTATCTGGTGCAGAGACAGCCTGGGCTCTTGGACACAGTTGTATCTGCAACCTCTTGGAGAATGCGTTGGTAAAAGCGATCCAGTTACCGCTTGCTGAATGAATTTTGAGCATGCGGCGTATGTACCAGAGATTATGGTCGCAATTTGCTTCACCTGGAGGTGAATGTATGCTAAACTTGTTCCCGAAGGAAGTATGCTTGAAATGGTCTTCGTAACAAGGCTTACAAATTGCCAGTCCAGAGTCTGGTCGATCCGTGGGATAATACCATTCTCTACCTTCGAGAGACTTGTCTTCCGGACAGAAGCCAAGCTTGGGTCGAGTGGCCATGAAGTTCAACATGCCATCAAGACTCAGGTTTGCTAAAGCAATCGGCCAGAGATTTTCTTTGACGCGAGGGTTCCCAAAGAAACATTGTCTCCCTACGCTGTCTTCATGCCAAACTGGGTTGAAGACGTCATGGAAAGGTGAGTTGAGAATGTGATCGTGGTAGCAAAGATTGCAGATGATGAAATTCGGATAGGCGGGGTGGATGAACCAGTAGAGGGGTAGAGTGAAGGGCATGTCAATGCATTCTGTCACGGGCTGGATTCCTAATGGCATGGGAGTGCAGGCTGCCATATCCGAGTGACCTGGATTGGGGCGATTGTCGGCTTGCCTAGTCATTGGTGTGTTTGGAACAGGTAATTCCTCAGGAGACTGTCGATTCTGATAAGAGTATGGTTGATTTTGATGAGGGCGTGATTGCTGTTGCTGGTATTGCACTGGTTGAGGCGACGCTGTTGGATGCGATCCTGGGAGTTCCGCAGGTCGTGGGGGTGGAGACGGAGGTTGGGGATATCCCTGGTAGCCTTGTTGGGGAGTTGGATACACTAGATAATTGGGACTCTGTTGGTATTGCGGCTGATAGTGCCCGGTGGATTGTTGTTGCTGCTGCTGTTGCTGCTGCTGCTGCTGTTGGGGCTGTTGAAAGTCCTTGTCAGCTTGTTTTACTATCTTTTCCGCTCCAGCGAGAAGTTTCGAAAGTCGACCCATTGCAGAATTCGAGGCTTGCTGCAGTTTGAGTATATTCCCTTGAGCGAAGCAGTTCTGACTCACGGTGAGGCCAGCTAATCAGCTGAACACTTATAGTCTTATACGCCCTTCCGTGCCCCACTGGTGTCGTTTCGTGCCGATATTGCCGGTCAAAGAATGTCTTGCTTTCCTTATTTAGGACTGGACTAACTCATTTCGACTGACAGGTATCGCTCGGAACAAGTTTATTGGAGCGGGACTGATTAGAAACTATTTATGCAAGCCTCGTGGGTGTGATCTACGTCCACAATGCGTGATTTATCTTAATCACAGCCTCGACGTGAGATGAGCGGCAAGAAATCAGGCGATGAGTTGGGATCGTTTTTTTATAGAAAAAAAAACCTCAAATCTATTCTAACCTCCTTTCCTCATCTAGATTGGAATGCTTTTGGGTTTTGAATTCATCACCATCGCTCCTCAGGAATGAGCGGAATGCAGTTGGCAACTCTCGCGATCAATCAATATAATACAGAAGATTTACGACCTTCAAACCAAGTGAGCTCATACCGGCCTGTTGATCAAATTGGTTTCCCCTCGTGGCGCTTTGGTCCTTTGTTTGGAGCAACTCGGTGTTGAACCGACGCAGATAAGATTCTTTAGTAGATGCCTGGGATGAACCGCGCTGTAACTCGATTCCACGCAACCCATTTGTCTCCAAACGTCTTCTTGAGCATCTCTTCTTCATCTTTAACCCTCATCATAAGTCTTCGTAGGATTCCAAATGTAAAGACCGAACAACAAATGAGTCCCCATCCACTCAACGCGGACTGCAGGGCGCGAGGAACTAAGCATCCAACCACACCGTCCCAGCGCAGAAACATGGAGAGATTGATGACCATGACAACGATTTGTCCTGTATATCCGGGATGTTGCATGTATCGATACATACCATCCGTGGTCAAAGTGTCGGGGGGTCCAAGCTTGAAGGTGAAGTTGCTTCCGAGTTGAGCAAAGGCTGTAAGTCGCAGGGGACCTCCAATACAGATAATAAGAAACAAGCAGACCGAAGTGTAAGGGTTCCAAGTGAAAAGTCCGTTGTTCAAGTTCTCAGGGTGTAGGCATACGAGACTGTTGTTGTCGCTGTACCCAAGCACGACAAGTGCATGGAAGATGCCAATACTGACAGCCAGCATCCGACGAATTCGCGCCGCAACTGGGCTAGCATAGGTTCCGAGACTATCTTTGTTCCAACCATCGCGCGGAATCTCATTGGGAGCTTTGAAGCAGGACATGGTGATGAGGCTCGACAACAGAACCGCCCCTGCGAAAGAAACTTTTTGTAAAGGATCCATGGCGATGTAGGCGACTGTAAAGTAGGAAAGAGATTAATTCAAAATAATATTGAGCTTTCTTGACTGGGTGATCAGATTTGATCGATCGTTTACTTCTGCTGGTCTTCTGGATGGTATTAGTATCGGCGGCAGGCGATAAAATCTCCTGATGTGTGATTACGCCCTGCCGCAGGGCTGTGAGTCATATCAAGAGACTATTGATCCGTTCCGACCTTGCCGGTCAAACAATGCCTCAATTTCATTGTTTAGTCCTCGTACTAGCTCGATTCGACTGGTACGAAAGACTAGGATAGAGAGAGACTTATTATAAACCCTGTGTACAGCCTGCTGACCTCGTATATCTCGATGTCTGTATATGCGTTATTTATTTCAATGACCAAGCCTACTCTGGGTGATCAGTGCAGAAATCACGTAAGGTAAACCCCACTGACTAAGCAGAGACGTATCTCGTGATGGCTTCAACAATCCGTGACCTCACCCCACGCCACGTGATCTTAGTTACATAATCAGCGAGATCCACCCTCACTTGCACCCTTTATTCCAGAGCGAGCTTCGTATCCATTTTCGACTTCTAATAGATAAATGTTCTCTTTCACTTACGTCGATGCCCATCTTGCGACCATACGACAGCGTACTTTCCCAAGCGTATTATGTTCATTCGCCCACCCTCAAGTCATATATAGCACGGCACCACAAAATGTCAACGAACATCGATAACTCGAACGACCTTACCGTGCACCGTGTAGACAGTGCGGAGGACTTAGAACTGTGGACCCCATCTCTTGTTCGATTACTACAATCATGTGTCAACATCGATCCCGCCTCGTCCTCCATCGGCTTTCGCGCACCTCTCTCTGAGGCGAAGGCTACAGAATATTGGCATTCACTGTCGGCTCAGCTATATGGTTCCCAACCCAACACCACACTGTTTGTCCTGGGCCGTGGTTCGAACGCCATTGGGACAATTCAACTGGTGACTCATGCTAAGGAAACGCACGCGCACAAGGTCGAGATAGGCAAATTATTGGTGGCCGAAAGCGATAGAGGCCGGGGATTGGGCAGGAAGCTCATGAACGTGGCAGAGAGTTTTGCACAAGACAACTTGGCTAAGAATATGGTGTTGCTAGATACAGCAACAGAAAGCCCCGCGCGGGAGTTCTACTTGAAGCTTGGATACACAGAATGGGGGATCTGTCCACAATATGCTGCGAGCGCTGATGGGCATATACACGAAAGCTCGTTTTTCTATAAGTATCTTAGCATGTAAGCCTCTGAATGCGTAGGCTTTGAACTTACCTATATTGGTATGCCCATACCCCGCTTCATCGGCGCCGGTCACTACACAATGGATGCTTAATATTGACCCACAAGACCTGAAGGGGATAAGCAGCGAGTATATGCCGTTATGTTTCCTCTAGATTTATTGCCAGTACCGGCTAGTGTGAATTAAATCGGTCCCCTTGAGATGAGCGATGGCAACGAATTGCAAGTGGCGTCATAGATGACTGGAGAGTCAAATGCTTGGTTTCCCCAGATAGTGTTATGCTTTTGTTCTCTTGAATGCATAGATAGAGATAATTTCGAGCTCTATACGAGCGAATGCGAGAGGGCTGGTTGTCATAGTGACCTCCGAGTCCCTTCTCCTTTTCTCGTCTATCAGATTCGCAGCCACATTAAACACCCAAATTTCTCACGGGGAGCCACATATTGTTGCAAAAAATATTAATTGAGTAGCAGAACAATAACACAGCTGGCTGAAAGAATTCCAGATCTGAGTTTACGAGCCAAGAGTAGTTGTATCAGTTTGACATCGAGATACCTCCCAGGCTATCCACAATTCACCTTCTTCAACTGCTCTCCCCCTTAACTTGCCCAAGAAAGAAGACGAAACTCCCCTAAACTTAACTATCTCGTGACATCAAAAGTGGCCGAAGCCGAGCACTCGAAAGCCCTTCTCTCTTCTTACATATTGACAACCAGGCCCATTCCGCCAAGCATGACGCCGAGGGCGACAGCCGCAGTCTCCCTGGGACCAGCATTCTTGCTGTGAGTGGTAGTCGAAGTCGCCTTGGCGGATGCTGAGTTGCTCTTCGTGGCAGCGGCTTTGACGCCGCCCGTCGTCGTACTGGCTTGGGGAGTAGTAGTGGCCTATTAGTAGTAAGGGACATGATTAGTCTACTTTTGTTCTGCTGGAAGGTCAAGGTGGATGCAGGAGATTCGAGGGGGAGTCTACCAGGGCGACTGTTGTCATGGCGAGGAGTGCGGCGAGAGAGAAACGCATGTTGGGCTAGGAAGATGGGAATGGGCTGAGTGCGTTGTTTGAGGTATGGAAGGTTGATTAGATGAAGTTGTATGTAGTTCTCGGCGGGCTGTATGTTTCTGGAGCTGTGAGAGCATGTGAGGGCTGATTAGAATTTGAAGATAGACTTTGTTCGGGGTCTTATATAAGATGTGTAGACAAAGAGGAGTGACAATGTTTTACCGCACTCACGGGCATGATGCAGGTTTACCAAACACAATACTAAC